GTACAATGTTTTCAAATTTCTGCCCAATAAATAAAATACATAATACTCTATAGTAAAATAAAAATTTCATTTATTGGTTGCACACTATTGACTTCAGCATCTTAAACATGGCCACATCCACATGTGAACCACTTTTGTGCTTCACAATAAGTTCCTTTTTCATCTCAATTGTCCATATTGAAACTTTCCTTGGGCTTCATTGCTTTCACACACTTCTCAGATGCCATGATTAAACCTAATATGTTAAACAACGTTTTTGCATATTTTTAACAGCTGTTGCTACTTAGATGTTTGATTTAATTATAACAGTTGTAAATTTAACACATTATTGTTAATGTGTTGTATTTTTTTATTTATTTACTTCACTATTGAGTAATAATCATCACTATTGCTTTTAGTATCATAATTGAAAGTTTAAAATGTTTGTTTTTTCACGCAATTGGCGACCAACTCAGTGCTGCAATACATTAACAAAGTTCAGATAGTTCAATATGCTAAATCTGGTTTGTTGAGAAGACACTTTACAATGAATCAACGAGTTGTTGGCTAGAAGTAATCTTCTTCCTGCAGTTAGAGAACAAACAACGAGACAAATACAGACTTGACTCAAACTCTGATGCACACTTGAAGATTTACGACAAACTTAGTGTATATTCTGACATTCTGAAGCAAACTTACGTAGACCTGAAGTTTCTAACCAAACTTAAATCTCCTGCTTTGACATTAACCTTTTTATAGCCATCAACAGTGGGCTAGATGACCAATCCGTGCTTACCAAGCTGTAGTACTATGCAAATAACGTGCAGTGTGATTCCCTGCCACCCAATCAACAGTTTCTGGTTGTAGCACTATGCAAAATATGTAGTGATGTGATTCTTGACCAATGAGTGATTAGCTGCTCTATTGGAGGTCTGCTGGTGGTGTGATCTGACGACCAATCAGTGGCCGTGCATTCAAAATCCAACGGTCTTTCTTGGCCGTTACTAGTTTAAAAAGGGGGGGAGAATAGTGTTCTTACACGATTTTCCTTTCCCCCTCTTTTTTAAACTAGTAACGGCAGGAAAGACCGTTCTTATACGATTCTATCACGACAATTACTTTTATTGTTCTCTACTATGTCACTTAAATTGTCTCTAGTTCAAAATTGAATTCATTTTTACTTTCAGTACTTCAAAACATAAATAAGAAATTTCCCTTTTTTCCATATTTTATGGAAGGAAAAAAAGAATTGTAATGAGTTGCATTTGTAATTTTTACACACTGTTGTCATAGAATACTTGTTCTTGTAGTGTATATGTTACTGTGAAAGACCGAAATTAGAGAATGTTGACACATACAAAATACGTTGGTGAAAGACCGAATATTTGGTTATATTATTATACATTCAAACAATCACCAGTGTATGTCAAGAAGCACAGATAAGCTTTGGTGGAGATCGAAACAATACCTGAGAAGCCGATGTCGACAGAAAGGCGAGAGTCTGTCGCCAAATCATTTGTTCTGCCGCAATTGAAATCACATAGTATCTATTTGTTATATACTCTGGAACACTGCTGTTTTGTCAGTCTTATGCAAGGTTTGCTGGTGCATGCAATGTTTTCTTAAATTTTATTTATTTTTTATCTGATATTCCAATTTATATTGAATGGTTACTGCTTTTTTTGAAAAGTTATGCGCATTAATTGCAAGTAAATGAGAAGACAATTGTTTTTATTTTTCTCAAGAAAAGAACTCTAAAATACTTTCTGAAGTGATTTCTGCTAAAACTAAGTGCAGCACACCTTTGGATTACAGATGATTAAAACGTTTTGACATTTTAAAAATTAATGAAGAGAAATTAATTGTATCATTAAAACCAGGAGAAACGAATATACAGTATTATGTTACCAATGATGAATTGTTCAGTATACTATCTGAAACTCACAGCAGAACAGGCCATGGAAGAAGAACATGTATGCTTAAAGAATTGCAACTTAAATACAAAAATATTACATATGAAGTTGTAATGTTGTATTTAAATTTATGTAAACAATGTCAAATGAAACCTAGTGCACCTAAAAAAGGTATTGTTGTGAAACCAATGGCCAGTTTGGAGTTAAACTGATGTCAAGTCGATCTGATAGACCTGCAGTCACACAGGGATGGTGAATATAAGTTCATAATGGTGTATCAAGATCATTTAACGAAATTTGTCCAGCTATGACCTTTGAAAACTAAGATAGCTAAAGAAATAGCGTATCACCTTCTTCTAATATTTTTTACATTTGATGCCCCAGCTATATTGCATTCAGATAATAGTAGGGAATTTTGTATAATCAAATCATATCTGAACTATGCACTATGTGGAAAGATGTTAAGATAGTTCATGGAAAGCTTCATCATAGTCAAACACAAGGCTCAGTTGAAAGGGCCAATCGGGATATACAGAATATGTTAACAGCATAGATGAACAATAACGATACAAATAAATAGTCAGATGGTTGCCCTTTGTACAATTTGCCAAGAACACTACACATCACGAAGGAATATGCCAAAGTCCTTATGAAGTCATGTTTGGCGTTAAACCAAAAAGAGGCAGAGTATCATCATCTTTGCCTGGCGAACAAATTGCAAATATTGAAACCGAAGAACAGCTCAAAGAAATTGTTAATACTTTTAAAGAAAATTTGAGCAGTGGCTATAACGAATACCATATTCCAAAGGAAAATATTGAAGAGGAGCTGCAACCCACCACGTCTTTATGTCAAGCCCAGACCGAACAATACAAAGTTATTTCTATAAAAAGAGCGGCCACGAAAGAGAATCTTCTACTGCAAGCAATGAAAATGTTATGAACCTCAAAAAGAAAATTTTTTTTCTGCTCAAATTGGTGATACCATATGAATACAAGTCCCTGATATTGACCGTGGCCGTACAGATGCCCGAAATGTGTTGGCGGTTGTTGTTGGAATAGATGACTCCGACTTTTATAAATTAGCAAACAAAAACTGGTATCGTCAAGTAGCTTTAGACCTGTAATCAGTTTGTAATTTGTAAAGAAAAGTTACTTTCCATAGATGAGATTTCTTCTCAAGAAATATTGCTGAGAGAAGCAGCTGCAGCTAATTCGAAAAGTGAAGGGCAAGGCTATACATGCTGTCATCACAAAAAGAAGTGTTTCACGAATAAATGCAGTTGTAAAAGCAAGGGACTCTTGTGAAATTCAAAGTGCCATAACAGTTTAAGTTGTTGCAATAAATAAGATTGTACAACGTTAATCACATGATTTATGTGTAAGTTTATTATTGTATTATTTTTTTTAATGATTTAGAATGTACTGTTTGTTTTAGGTTCAACATTTTATTTACATGTGCTGTTACTTAAGCTTTCTCCTATTTTGACATATTAAAAAGTTGCATTTTTGTCTTAACATAATAAAAATATTTTTATTTAACATTCACCATCAGTGCATGCTGAATGTCGGCATTTGCTGGTGTAAGTGAGAAATAATGATATTTAGCATATATTTCGTACATACACGAAACAACTGTGTGAATGCTGACATTCGCCAGATATCGATCATTCACAGTAACATATACACTTGTCACTGTGGCAGTGCCAGCAGATATGTAACATTTACTATTGACATCACTGTAGTGGTACCAGTGTGTATTCATAATTCACAATGTAGCTGTTAGTGGTACCAAGTGAATTTGTGATATACACTATGCATGTCACTAAAGTGGCATCAATGGAATTGTCCTGTATACTGTCAATGTTGCCAAAGCAGCACCTGAGGAATACAAAGGTTTTCTCATTACACACACAGAAGAGGAATAACAAGTTAAGACTGACTTGTAGCATTACCAAATTAATTCCTCAAAGTTTTCATCTGCTCACCCAGTAATATCCTACTAAACTTTTGCCTTCTGATGTATGTTTCATAGTATTATTCAATCTTGGTTCTGATTCTTTTATTTATAACATTGTATGACAAATTAAAATAACAGGTAAAAAGCCATTGTTGTTAGCATTTTCAAATTTTTTTAATATAAAAATTCAAAAGTATTTTCTTCTGACAGGAAAGTTTTTAATTGCGGTATATTTGTTTATTATTTTGTACAAGCGNGTTATTTATATCATAAATTTGAAAATCCAAACAGATGAGAAAAAAATGCTTAATTTTGGAAACCAAATTAAACTTTTATTCAGTACGTAATTGTTTGCCTTTTTTTTTTTATAAGATCATTATCAAATGTGAAAATTATCAATTGTGAATGTATTTGTTCTAACTCACTGGATAATTTTCACAGTTGGTGATCTTATATAAGAAGGAAAAGGTTATTAAATAAAACTTTAAGTTGGTTCTTGGAATTAAGCATTTTCTCCCCTTATCTTTTTGGATATTGTGCCAAGTTTAGGTTTTTTATATCCAGAAATCCACTTATTATTATTATCATTAAATTTGGATAAAATATCCTGCTGTTACTACAGTTAATAAATGGGAGGACTGATAAGAACAGTGTTACTTTTTGATATATTAAGAATTATATAGATTATAATCTTCATTATATTCCATATATGTTTTGTAATTTAATTTCGTATATGCATATCAGGTGAATTATTAAATAAAGCTTTATTGAGATATTTTGTACTTAAGAGATTAAAATGTAGTTTTATTTCTTTATATTAAGAAAATATTTTTAAAATGTTTAAGTTTTTAAGTTGTATACATTTTGTGTTTTTAAATCAGTTGTTCAATATATATGTTGTATGTATTTTAGTAAATATGAGATAAATTGTATGGTTATTAATAGGTGATGGATTTCAATAAAATAAATTTTTTAAAATTGTTAAGTTTTTTAATTAACTAATAATAATTAAATTAAATTCTTTGAAAAAATAACTTACTTTTTTTATTATTCTTCTTGAGAGAAAGAAAATAATTTCATTACTGTAGTTACTATTTATGTAAATTCAAAATTATACTCTTAAACTTAACTTTTATCTCAAACTTCCAGAACTAATTCTGAACATCCAGATTCGAGTAAAGTATTCATTCAGAGTGCATGCATTAATAGTTCTAATGTGCAAAGTACAAATGATCAAATTGGCCAGAAACAGATATTAAGTTCAAGTTTGAATGAAGCAGCATTAACATTGCTGCATGGAGATTTGATTGGTAAGAAAGAACAAACTAAAAACTTTGATAGTTTTAAAAAAATAGCCTACTTAAATACTTATAAAAGTTTAATAATAATTATCTTTGTAATAGTGAATGATGAGAAAGTGCAAATTGAAAATGAATTTAAAAAAAACATTTTATGAAAATTGGTATTGTGTGAAAGATTGAATGCAATAATAATCAAATAATTAATTTTTTTTTTGTAATAGATTAAAATTTCAATTATTATAAGACTTAAATCATCATTTTCCATGTTTGAAGGAATATTATATTGCTTTGACATTAAAATAAATATTTAAAATCATTAAAATTAAGGTAGTTAGTTACTGTGTATTGATAGAACTATTCATTATTGTAAATTTATATTAGTTATAAAATTTAGTGATATATTTTAAAATTGAATCATAAAATATTTATTATTACACTAAGAAAACTTTATTAACTTTTCTCTGAATGCATTATTTATGAAATATTTTTAGTTATGATTTTTTTAAAGTCATGTAAAACTGAGTATTGTGATATTACATTATTAAATTTCCATATAAGCATCCTAAAATTCTAAAATAAAAATAGAAGATAAAGTAAATTTTTTTCAGACAAAAATTATGTATCTCATCATTAGTCATTGTTCTAAATTAAAGACCTTACACTTATATTCACAATTTAAAGTCAGGAGTAGATCAATTGACATTTATTTACTTTAATAATAATTATTCATGTACATAAATTTTGATTTTAACTCTTCATTATTAATCTTATATGGTGAATGCTAATTTCTCAAATAATTGTGTAAATACAATTATTTAAGATGTTGTTTTTGATCATATAAAGGGTTTTCAGGAATATAGAATTCAAACATGAAAATACACTTTCAAAAATTAAATATTTAGATTAGTTTTTTATTTATTTCATATACAGTGGTACCTCAGGATACGAAATTAATCTGTTCCGAACTGAGATCGTATCATGAAAATGTCGTAAGGTGGATCATCTTTTCCCATACGATTNGCAATTATTTATTGTGACATTATCACAATGCTGGGCTGCAATTTTTAATAATAATTTTTAAATTTATTTAATTTAAAATATATGCTCTCTACCTCAAATTAGTACTGTAGTGTCTTGCCCCTATACATCATACTTTTCTGTTAGCAACGGAGTTATGTCGGTCATCTAACTCCTTTCAAGGGAAAATTTTTGAATTGAAATAACATGACTTCTGATTTGCATCAGAAGTTCATATATAGTTAATTGGGACCTCCTGCCCCTAAGCTTTCCATATTTGGTCTTGAATTTTATTTATCTAACACTGTTCTCAAGATTAAGAAAAGACAGATGGACAGACAATAGTAAGAATTTATAGGTGTACAATGTTTTCAAATTTCTGCCCAATAAATAAAATACATAATACTCTATAGTAAAATAAAAATTTCATTTATTGGTTGCACACTATTGACTTCAGCATCTTAAACATGGCCACATCCACATGTGAACCACTTTTGTGCTTCACAATAAGTTCCTTTTTCATCTCAATTGTCCATATTGAAACTTTCCTTGGGCTTCATTGCTTTCACACACTTCTCAGATGCCATGATTAAACCTAATATGTTAAACAACGTTTTTGCATATTTTTAACAGCTGTTGCTACTTAGATGTTTGATTTAATTATAACAGTTGTAAATTTAACACATTATTGTTAATGTGTTGTATTTTTTTATTTATTTACTTCACTATTGAGTAATAATCATCACTATTGCTTTTAGTATCATAATTGAAAGTTTAAAATGTTTGTTTTTTCACGCAATTGGCGACCAACTCAGTGCTGCAATACATTAACAAAGTTCAGATAGTTCAATATGCTAAATCTGGTTTGTTGAGAAGACACTTTACAATGAATCAACGAGTTGTTGGCTAGAAGTAATCTTCTTCCTGCAGTTAGAGAACAAACAACGAGACAAATACAGACTTGACTCGAACTCTGATGCACACTTGAAGATTTACGACAAACTTAGTGTATATTCTGACATTCTGAAGCAAACTTACGTAGACCTGAAGTTTCTAACCAAACTTAAATCTCCTGCTTTGACATTAACCTTTTTATAGCCATCAACAGTGGGCTAGATGACCAATCCGTGCTTACCAAGCTGTAGTACTATGCAAATAACGTGCAGTGTGATTCCCTGCCACCCAATCAACAGTTTCTGGTTGTAGCACTATGCAAAATATGTAGTGATGTGATTCTTGACCAATGAGTGATTAGCTGCTCTATTGGAGGTCTGCTGGTGGTGTGATCTGACGACCAATCAGTGGCCGTGCATTCAAAATCCAACGGTCTTTCTTGGCCGTTACTAGTTTAAAAAGGGGGGGAGAATAGTGTTCTTACACGATTTTCCTTTCCCCCTCTTTTTTAAACTAGTAACGGCAGGAAAGACCGTTCTTATACGATTCTATCACGACAATTACTTTTATTGTTCTCTACTATGTCACTTAAATTGTCTCTAGTTCAAAATTGAATTCATTTTCACTTTCAGTACTTCAAAACATAAATAAGAAATTTCCCTTTTTTCCATATTTTATGGAAGGAAAAAAAGAATTGTAATGAGTTGCATTTGTAATTTTTACACACTGTTGTCATAGAATACTTGTTCTTGTAGTGTATATGTTACTGTGAAAGACCGAAATTAGAGAATGTTGACACATACAAAATACGTTGGTGAAAGACCGAATATTTGGTTATATTATTATACATTCAAACAATCACCAGTGTATGTCAAGAAGCACAGATAAGCTTTGGTGGAGATCGAAACAATACCTGAGAAGCCGATGTCGACAGAAAGGCGAGAGTCTGTCGCCAAATCATTTGTTCTGCCGCAATTGAAATCACATAGTATCTATTTGTTATATACTCTGGAACACTGCTGTTTTGTCAGTCTTATGCAAGGTTTGCTGGTGCATGCAATGTTTTCTTAAATTTTATTTATTTTTTATCTGATATTCCAATTTATATTGAATGGTTACTGCTTTTTTTGAAAAGTTATGCGCATTAATTGCAAGTAAATGAGAAGACAATTGTTTTTATTTTTCTCAAGAAAAGAACTCTAAAATACTTTCTGAAGTGATTTCTGCTAAAACTAAGTGCAGCACACCTTTGGATTACAGATGATTAAAACGTTTTGACATTTTAAAAATTAATGAAGAGAAATTAATTGTATCATTAAAACCAGGAGAAACGAATATACAGTATTATGTTACCAATGATGAATTGTTCAGTATACTATCTGAAACTCACAGCAGAACAGGCCATGGAAGAAGAACATGTATGCTTAAAGAATTGCAACTTAAATACAAAAATATTACATATGAAGTTGTAATGTTGTATTTAAATTTATGTAAACAATGTCAAATGAAACCTAGTGCACCTAAAAAAGGTATTGTTGTGAAACCAATGGCCAGTTTGGAGTTAAACTGATGTCAAGTCGATCTGATAGACCTGCAGTCACACAGGGATGGTGAATATAAGTTCATAATGGTGTATCAAGATCATTTAACGAAATTTGTCCAGCTATGACCTTTGAAAACTAAGATAGCTAAAGAAATAGCGTATCACCTTCTTCTAATATTTTTTACATTTGATGCCCCAGCTATATTGCATTCAGATAATAGTAGGGAATTTTGTATAATCAAATCATATCTGAACTATGCACTATGTGGAAAGATGTTAAGATAGTTCATGGAAAGCTTCATCATAGTCAAACACAAGGCTCAGTTGAAAGGGCCAATCGGGATATACAGAATATGTTAACAGCATAGATGAACAATAACGATACAAATAAATAGTCAGATGGTTGCCCTTTGTACAATTTGCCAAGAACACTACACATCACGAAGGAATATGCCAAAGTCCTTATGAAGTCATGTTTGGCGTTAAACCAAAAAGAGGCAGAGTATCATCATCTTTGCCTGGCGAACAAATTGCAAATATTGAAACCGAAGAACAGCTCAAAGAAATTGTTAATACTTTTAAAGAAAATTTGAGCAGTGGCTATAACGAATACCATATTCCAAAGGAAAATATTGAAGAGGAGCTGCAACCCACCACGTCTTTATGTCAAGCCCAGACCGAACAATACAAAGTTATTTCTATAAAAAGAGCGGCCACGAAAGAGAATCTTCTACTGCAAGCAATGAAAATGTTATGAACCTCAAAAAGAAAATTTTTTTTCTGCTCAAATTGGTGATACCATATGAATACAAGTCCCTGATATTGACCGTGGCCGTACAGATGCCCGAAATGTGTTGGCGGTTGTTGTTGGAATAGATGACTCCGACTTTTATAAATTAGCAAACAAAAACTGGTACCGTCAAGTAGCTTTAGACCTGTAATCAGTTTGTAATTTGTAAAGAAAAGTTACTTTCCATAGATGAGATTTCTTCTCAAGAAATATTGCTGAGAGAAGCAGCTGCAGCTAATTCGAAAAGTGAAGGGCAAGGCTATACATGCTGTCATCACAAAAAGAAGTGTTTCACGAATAAATGCAGTTGTAAAAGCAAGGGACTCTTGTGAAATTCAAAGTGCCATAACAGTTTAAGTTGTTGCAATAAATAAGATTGTACAACGTTAATCACATGATTTATGTGTAAGTTTATTATTGTATTATTTTTTTTAATGATTTAGAATGTACTGTTTGTTTTAGGTTCAACATTTTATTTACATGTGCTGTTACTTAAGCTTTCTCCTATTTTGACATATTAAAAAGTTGCATTTTTGTCTTAACATAATAAAAATATTTTTATTTAACATTCACCATCAGTGCATGCTGAATGTCGGCATTTGCTGGTGTAAGTGAGAAATAATGATATTTAGCATATATTTCGTACATACACGAAACAACTGTGTGAATGCTGACATTCGCCAGATATCGATCATTCACAGTAACATATACACTTGTCACTGTGGCAGTGCCAGCAGATATGTAACATTTACTATTGACATCACTGTAGTGGTACCAGTGTGTATTCATAATTCACAATGTAGCTGTTAGTGGTACCAAGTGAATTTGTGATATACACTATGCATGTCACTAAAGTGGCATCAATGGAATTGTCCTGTATACTGTCAATGTTGCCAAAGCAGCACCTGAGGAATACAAAGGTTTTC